CGAAAAAAAGGAAAAAAAGAAAAGAAATATATATCCTAAAACACATCTTTGTGCCTTTTCGTGTTCTTACCTCAGTGTTTCTGATAAAAGATATATACGAAAAATCTTTATAATATCCCTTTTGCCAAAGCTAAAATTAATGAGAATATATGTTTTCTAAATCTTGTGTAGTGCATGTGGTGATCGCTACCCCTGGGAGAATCCTGGATCTTATCAAGAAAGGAGTAGCAAAGGTTGATCATGTCCAGATGATAGTGTTGGATGAGGTAATGTCTCTTTATTTGAAAAGATAACATTCTGTACTATTCTGTGCTTTGCTTATAACTGCAAAAGTGAATGAAGCAAAAGCTTTTTGTGTTTATGACCTTATAGTAAACAGATAACTAGTTGGTTTAAACTAATTTGCTTATAAAACATGTTTTACTTTTTTTTTTTTTTTTTAAGATGACCAGTAAGGGGATCTTAACCCTTGACTTGGTGGTGTCAGCACCACACTCTCCCAAGTGAGCTAACTGGCCACCCCTATATAGGGATCTGAACCCATGGCCTTGGTGTTATTAGGACCACAGTCTCCCAAGTGAGCCATGGGCCAGCCCAAAACATGTTTTACTGTTCAAAGGCAATAGATGAACTCCCTTGTGTCTTTTTCTTAGGGATGCCAGATAGTTTAGGTTTTATTTTTATTTTTCAAGAAGGGGAGTTGCTCAGTAACCTCAAAGCCAAGTTCGTCCTGTTTCTTTCTATTCAGTGATACGTTTTAAAAAGCATGTAATGTCTTTAACCCCTCATTTTATGTGTGCTGCTTGAGTTTGCTTTTGGTCTGTTTCATGTATTATCTCACCAGGTTATATGCCATCCATTTTAAAGAGCTTATTCTATATCCCTGGGATCTAACAGTGTTTTATCCATGCAGTATATCTTTTGTTAATGTTTTGATATAAAGTTACTTTCTCATTTGGTTTGTATTTTAGATAACTAGTTTGTTGATTTTGGTCTAATTTTTTTGTTTCTTTTGGTGGCTGGTCAGTAGAGGGATTGAACCCTGGGCCTTGGTGTTATCAACACCATGCTCTAACCAGCTGAGCTAACTGGCCAGCCTTTCTTTCTTTCTTTTTTTTTTAATCACAGTCTAATTTGTATCACATCAATCTGATTAATGAGTGATAACATTTATTAATCACTGTGTGCCACCATTAAGTTCTTTACATGTTTTTTCACTTAATTTTTACAAAAACCCTATAAGGTAGGTATCCTATAAAGTAGTTACTACAGTATGTATGCATCCCAATTTTACACTTGTGGAAACTGAAGTATAGAGCGGTTGCATAACATCCCAACACAACTAATAAATGAAAGAGACAAGATTTTTTTTTTTCTTTTTTCTTTTTTGTCTTTTTTACTGACCGGTAACGGGATCGCAACCCTCGGTGTCACACCCGTACCGGGGACTGGCAACGGGATCGCAACCCTCGGTGGTGCACCCGCACCGCGCTCAGCCAGTGAGCGGGAACTGGTCTCCACATGGGATCCGAACCCTCGGCGGGAGCGCTGCCGCACTCCCAAGCGGCGCACTCTCCAGTGGCCGGCCCAAAGAGACAAGATTTTAGCCCAGGTAGTTTGACTCTAGAACCTGTACAGTCTTTTTTTTTTTAAAAGATGACCTGTAAGGGGATCTTAACCCTTGACTTGGTGTTGTCAGCATCACGCTCTCCCAAGTGAGCAAAGCGGCCATCCCTATATAGGGGTCCGAACCCGTGGCCTTGGTGTTATCAGCACCACACTCTTCCAAGTGAGCCACAGGCCGGCCCTTACAGACAGTCTTTTACTTATGATGATTCCACTTATGATTTTTCAACTTTTTTTTTTTTTTCTTTTTTCGTGACCGGCAACGGATCGCAACCCTCAGTGTCGCGCCCGTACCGGACCAGGACCGGCAACGGGATCGCAACCCTTGGTGTTGTCCCCATGTCGCGCCCGTACCGGACCAGGACCGGCAACGGGATCGCAACCCTCGGTGTTGTCCCCGCTTCTCGCTCAGCCAGTGAGCGGCTGGTCTGTATGTGGGATCCGAACTCTCGGCGGGAGCGCCGCCGCACTTCCCAAGCAGCGCACTGTAGCAGTGCGCCACCGGGCTGGCCCTCAACTTTNGCAACACTAAGGGTTGCGATCCGTTGCCGGACTCGGAAAAAAAAGACAAAAAGCCAAAAAATAAAATAAAATAAAATAAAATAAAATAAAATAAAAGCGATCCGTTGCCGGACTCGGAAAAAAAAGACAAAAAGCCAAAAAATAAAATAAAATAAAATAAAATGATGGCTTGAAAGCAATAAATAGAAACTGTTGTTCATGTACCCGTACTAACATTCTTGCTTTTCACTTTTAACTAATATGCTAATTATTTCAAGGTTAAAATTTTAAGTAAATTACATGAGATATTCAACACTTTATCATAAAATAGGCTTTGTGTTAGATGATTTTGACGAACTATAGGCAAGTGTAAGTGTTCTGAGTATGTTTAAGGTAGGCTAGGCTAAGCAATGATGTTCAGTATGTTAGGCATATTAAGTGGATTTTCCACTTAGGATATTTCCAATTTACAATGGATATATATTAGGATGTAACTTCATCGTATGTGGAGGAGCATCTGTATTTTTAACCACTATACGATACTACCTCTAAGGGGAATCACATTAAAATTCTGTTATGGGAGCAAGGGTTTTACCTGTGTAGAATTTTTTTTTTCTTGAAAAATGGGGATTATAGATTTTTTCCTCTTCCAAATCAGTGGGAGTTTATCTTAGTACCATTGGACTCTGTGCTGGATTGAAGAGATCTTATTGTTTATAACCAGGAGCATTCCATGGATGCTCTTGTTGGAAAATGCCGTATTGCTTTGACCTTACATTAACCAAAGACCTTAGACATTGTTTCCTTGTTTTTAAAATTGTCTTCTCTTTATGCTGCAGGCAGATAAGTTGCTGTCACAGGATTTTGTGCAGATAATGGAGGATATTATTCTCACGCTACCTAAAAACAGGCAGATTTTACTATATTCCGCTACTTTCCCTCTTAGTGTACAGAAGTTCATGGTGAGTGTAAATCTGTACTTGGAATCAGTGTCATCCTGTTGTCTATGAGTATGCCTTTATCTGTAATTAATCTTATCAGTATATATTCTTTATGCTAATTATTTCAAGGTTTGGGTTTTCAGCTGAGCAATTAAGATTTGTTGTACATAAATTTTTTTAAAAAACTAATACTTTGATTAAACTCTTTTTTCACTTAGCTTTTGGTGACAGGCTACATAGCAGTTGATGCTAGGTAAATTGATTATATGATTATGCTATATATAAAATACAAAATAGTACCTTAGGCACATTTCTAAAGCTCACATCTTATGGTAATTTATTTCTTCCATGATAGATCACATATACTTGTTTGAAGAGAGATGCATTCCTTATTGCCAGAGTTTATTAGACAGAACTCTATTAGGATATATTTTTAGTTTAAGACTCTTCTCTTTTTTCAGAATTCCCATTTGCAGAAACCTTACGAGATTAACCTGATGGAGGAACTAACTCTGAAGGGAGTAACCCAGTACTACGCATATGTAACTGAGCGCCAAAAAGTACACTGCCTCAACACTCTTTTCTCCAGAGTAAGTAGTAGGCTTCTACTGCTGAATATTACCTGTCACTTAATCCCAGTAGAACAGACAATTGCATCAACTTTTTTACCATCTTCATGTAGAAAAGTTCTAAGTGTTTTTACAAAGGCAGTTTCAGTTGTTGATCTGAAGTTGATACTGCATGATTGACAAGTCACAGGCACTTTTACTTTTATTCTAAATTAATTTGACCTTAATTACAGTTGATCCTCATTATTCACAGGTTCTATATTTGTGAATTTGCTTAATCAATCACTAAGGCTTATTTGTAGCCCCAAAATCAATACTCAAGGCACGTGTAGTCATTTATGGACATGTGCAGTGCATGCAGTGCAGTGAAGAATTTGTCACCTGACATGCATAGGCAATATTCTGCCTTCTTTTAGCTCTGAACAGATGTCTTTTTCATGATCTGTTTAGTTCCACATTTTTCAAATTTTTGTGCTTTTGTTGATGTCACTGTTTAAAATGGCCCATCACATAGTGCTAAAGTGCAGGCCAGTGCTCCTAAGCATAAGAAGGCAGATGTACCTTGCATGGAAAATGTGTGTTAAATAAACTTTGTGCAGGCATGGGTTATAGTGGTGTTGGCTGTGAATATATTAAATAAGGTATCCTTAAACAGAAACACACACAAAACTGGTTATTTATTGATGTACTGATGAAAAAGTTGTGATCAGAGGCTCACAGGAACCCAACCCTGTATTTCCCCTAGGAGCACTGGTGGTTTATTTGCTAATTCAGTGTTTGCAGTGACCTTACAGAACTAACTACTGTGAATAACAAGAATCGACTGTTGTTGGCAGTTATATGTATGACCCTTATGAAATGTACTCTTTCACAATAAAATTTATAAATTATTGTCTTCAACTATTAAGTAAATAGAAAACTTTAGAATATTTTCAGCTTTCCATATGTCTTGTATCATGAGACTAAGTTTTAGACCATCTTTTCATAACGTTTCTTATTTGACAATATTTTCACGATTTGGCAGACCAAATAAAGGTTTTTGATTTTCCTTCTTGTACCTGTTTTTCTTGTGTGCAGCTTCAGATAAACCAATCAATCATTTTCTGTAACTCCTCTCAGCGAGTTGAATTGCTAGCCAAGAAGATTTCTCAACTGGGTTATTCTTGTTTCTATATCCATGCTAAAATGAGGCAGGTGAGTATAAAACTAGAACTTGCACAGATATAACAAAAAAATTTTTTTTAAGTATTTCATGTATTTTGTTTTGTTTTAATGCTCCTCCAAATGAGTTTAAGAATAAACTATTTCTTAGTAGCCAGAGGACCTTCCATTTTAACCTCTCTGAGGTTCGGTTTTCTAACAAAATAGGGGGATACTTCAAAAAGTTCACAGAAAGATTTGAACGTTATGTGAAGTACCCTCATATATGGTCCTTCAGCTGATAGCTGTTTTCTTTATTGATTGCCTTAAGGATGCAGTCACTAAATTTCACACTTTGGTATAACAGAAAATAATTGAAAGCTATAATAAGACTTTTTTGTGTGTGCTAGCTACAACATTGTCAAATTTAATAAGAAAACAGTTTCTGCATTTATAGAAGCAGATTTTGGATATAAGGAACTGATTGGATAGGAGAAACTGATGGAAAATTTGGGGCTGTGTATGAATTTTAATCAAATGGAATGCATTGCTTTTTTTTAGGAACATCGAAATCGTGTATTTCATGATTTTCGAAATGGCTTATGCCGCAATCTTGTTTGCACTGGTAAGTATCTTTATCTCCTTTACCCGTTGTTTTTCTCCCTAGATCTGTTTTGATTTCTCTGTCCATATCACACAGTGCGGCTTATGACGTAGTGCAGCACACTTTACCACCACTTTTAGAATTTCTGAGGTTAAGAATCAAGTCTAGTTAATTCCTGAAATTGGGTTTTGTACCTGAAACTGCAGAATCATTGTTCTGGCGCTCATACCTCATCTCTGTTTTTTTTTTTTTTTTTTTTTTAAATTTTATTTTGTCAATATACAATGTGAATGATTATTGTGGCCCATTACCGAAACCTCCCTCCCTCCTCCCTCTCCCCCCTCCCG